ACTCTCTCTCACACACACACACACACACACACACACACACACACACACACACACACACACACACACACACACACACACACACACACACACACACACATTTTTGTAGACGTGGACAATGCCATATTCCGCCACACATTAGTCTTTAGTATATTGTGCACACATGATACAAGTTTTCTACTTCTGAATATATAAATAATATATATACATATATTTAGAATTGATATAGATATATTGCACAGTAGATCGCTTGCAAAAGGGTGATGATAAACAAAGAAATCTTGGAAGTGAGCCTACCACACCTCTGTTGCTCTCTCCTTACTTCAGCTTTAGGGTTACGGCTCAATGCTACATTAGGTGCTACTAGTATAACATACCTGAATGTGTTACCAACTGGTTGATGAAAAAAAACGCAAACGAAAGTGATGTTCAACTAAATGCATATGAAACAAGCTATGTGTTAGGTAAGACGCTTCCAAATCTTAACCAGGTTACAATTAAGATTTGAGCCACCACCTCTTATAAATGTTTTTCTCCTGTTTGCAGGCAGAATGAAGTCCTGTGGAGAGAGGTGGTCTCACTGAGACAGAATCACACACAACAGCAGAAAGTCATGAACAAGGTCAGTCTTTACGAGTGTAAGTTTGCGGGTCTGAACTATAGGTCGTACCAGTATTAACACAAGGGAGATTCTCTGGAACAACTTTAACAGTCATTGGGGTGTTCAGAAGATCTATGTGTGTGCTTGTATATTGTCTGTGTATATAAGTGTGTATGTGTATATATACTAATACTGTCTATCATTTAAAGATTACTCAGGAATAACATTTCAGTGGCTTTATCACTTCTTCTGATACCTCTGAAAGAAATTATTTTATGTAAACACAACAAAGGGATTCTTTTTCATTATGTACCAACTCTACATGTTTTAACATGTTTAAAATCAAATAGATTTATGCTCCTTATAGTTTTAGGCTTGTTTTGTCATAGATTAAATATATTGTCTTATAGGACGAAATGTGTTTCTTTTGGGTCATTCAAGTTATTGTCCTTTACCGTGTTGATGTATGTAGAGAAGGACTAATTGTGAGTGTTTGTGTGTGTGTGTGTGTGTGTGTGTGTGTGTGTGTGTGTGTGTGTGTGTGTGTGTGTGTGTGTGGGAGGAGGATGCTGATTCATTCTGTGCTTTTTCTCTCATTGCCAGCTGATTCAGTTTCTGTTCAGCCAGATGCAGTCCAATACACCCAGCACTGTGTGCCTGAAGAGAAAGCTGTGAGCACACACACACACACACACACACACACACACACACACACACACACACACACACACACACACACAATGTGGGGCAATCAACACAAGTGAGACAAACAGGGCCACAGTGGGGCAGAGGGAGGGAAGGGCTGGCTCAGCTGACAAACTCAGCAATCTAACTCAACAAGGGCTGTGAATGGAGACAAGTGCTGAATCAGTCAGTCAGACACACACAAACACACACATTAACACACAGGGAAGGCAGAGCAGAGTGCATGACCCTGCTACAGCCTGTGTGTGAAAAATGCTGGTTCAGCTTTGTTGCTGAGTGGGAACAAGGCCGTCATGAGAAAGGAAAGGCAGGCTGGAACACAAAAGTACAATAGAAACGTACATTTCAGAGTCATTGTGCGACCTGGCAAAGGTGCAATTTTACCCTATGTTTTAATGATAGTTATTTTCGGCCTTACCTTTTAACATCTACCCACACTAATAACTCACTCATCCATCACTCCAACCCCTGTCATTTACTGTCACATCTCCACATGGAATATTTCAAAAGCAAAAAGGTAGCATAACAAACTTTTGTTAGGACATTTGTCTATTCAGAATAGCAGTGTGAACATATTGATGTTTAGCAGATTCAATGTTTACCATGTACATTCTTTCTTGGGCGGGCTAGCGAGCTAATATTTCCTAATTAGCAATAAACACCAAATACCGTTGCGTGATTGGAATGCTGTTAAATACCAACTTATGCAAATTCATGGTAACTTGTTTATTGTTTTATTTAGAGGAAGTAGAGATACACACTTAACTAAATCCAACATGTTGACCAAAAATTATGAATCTAAACCAATGCCCACCCAAAACTGCTTAAATGCATTAAATAAATTATTACTTTCATGATAATGACATATATCCTTTGAAAACAAAGTTGTAATTGAGAGAAAACTATTGTTCCCTTCAGGCCCTTGATGTTGGACGAGGGCTCTCCCAGCCCTCCTGCCTCCAAGTTCAGCCATAATCACCCAATGGAGTCCATGCATGAGCCCTTCTACATCCAGTCGGTGAGAAAATAAGAAATTGTTACATACAGAGATGGGAAGTAACTAAGTAAATTAACTCAAGTACTGTACTTAAGTACAATTTTGAGGTACTTTGAGGTATTTTAATTGTCTTGCTACTTTTTACTTCTACTCCACTACAACTCGGAGGTTAATAGTGTACTTTTACTCCATTAAATGTATTTGACACCTTTAGTTACTTTACAGATCTGGATTAATTACATTACATGTCACTTGTTAGACGCTTTTATCCAAAGCGACTTACATACTCAGTACTGTGGCCAATCCCCACAGGAGCAATTTGGGGTGAAGTGTCTTGCCCACACAACGACATGCTGACTGCAGTGGGGTTTGAACCTGTCCAAACACCAACACACTAACTCACTGCGCCACACACCACCATTAATGATGTGAATTACTGTATAATCAACACTTAAATAAGACTTTAGTTACACCTGGGGTAAATTCACAAGCTACCCTGCAGTAAACAAAGTCATTCAAACTAGCTACACCGTTACCAGCTTTGAGAACACTTTAACGATCAATAATTATAATCAAAACATATTATATATATTATTCTGAAATGGAACAATCTGCATAATGAGTACTTTTAATTTTGGTTGGCTATTTTGATTGCAGGACTTTTACTTGTAACCGAGTATTCCTATACTCTGGTACTTCTACTTTCACTCAATAACAAGATCAGATTACTTCTCCCACCTCTGGATACATATAATGTATACCACTGTGCTTCATAACCCCTAAAGTCTAATTAACATACATCAAAATGGTAAAATTACCTTCATTACGAAAACTAAACCTTTTGTAGTATGACCTGTGCTTTGCAGCCTTTGTCAGTACAAGAGCATAATAAGTAAGCTATTTATCTCCTGACCTGACCTACCACATTCAGATCAAATGTTGCTGGCAGACTAACACAGTAAACATAAAGTTACTGGATGGCCTTTCTAAGTGCTTAGCCTTGTCCTTGATTTACCACAGTATTTATTAGACAGATAAGATATCATTCATCAAATAAAAACATTCATTTTAATCTGTTCTTCAATCATGCTCTTTCCACTACATCTCAGACAATATATTATCTGGACATGCTGCTATCAGTTTAGCTGTTATGTTGCATCACCACTAGAGGGAAGCAGAGCACAGTGACATCGTTTGATGGCCGTACCAGATGTGCTGTGCAGTGTACATTATTGCAGGCTGTACAAACTAAAGCCTTGGATTGAAGCAAATTAATATTTGTGTAAAGTGGTTTGTAAATGAAAATTAAACAGGGGAACCATACTGCCCTTCACTTGATACCATTTTAAGACTTTTGTTCCCTCCCTGATGAACTGGCATAACGCATAATAAAATGCCGATACTGGGTAAGATAATGGAAAGCACAGTATGCTAGCTTCAATTAAAGAGTGTTCTCCATATTAATTAGTTTATTTCAGAAAAGAACTATATTTTAATAACATTTTCATATCCCTAATACCTTGTATATTTGAATGATATTCAAAACTTTAGCTTAACCACAACAAATAAGCTGAGATAGCAACCACTCCTACTCTGCTAGGCTTGTAAGTCAAACTAGTTTGGCTATTTTTTGTTTTGTTTTAGTTTTCTTATCCATCTTAAATCTGGATTTAGCTATGGTGGATATCAATCTGAATTACCAAAACCATGTGGGATCATTAAAAGGTATATATTTCAATTACAGAGAGAGCTGGGGAAATAGGCTAAAGCTTTAGCTAAGTTTGTTGCAATGTAACTTGACACCAATGCTTTGGATCAACACATTGGGCCCAATGAGAGAAATGTTGGCAGGGGAGAACCCGCACAAGATCATCAAACACACAACAAAGTCATCTTTTTCTTTCCTTTTCTTTCCCAGCCATCCAATGATACTGCTTCCTGCTCTGCTAGTGGGCTGACAGGAGGACCAATCATATCTGATGTTACTGATATGTCTCAGGCCAGTATGGCCCTCCAGATGCAACCTGAAGAGGCCAGGTGAGTGATGCAAAATAACTTCACCATTGCTCATTGTAGAGGTAACCTCAAGAATCAGCTCTACATCTATTGCAGCATCTAATAACCCGATATTGTGAAAAAGATCATTCGTATTGGCAGGGGTGACTGATTGTTTTGCAGGTCAAATCCAGGCTACTCCCAAGTCCTAATGTCATTATTGGCTATTCACCCATTTTGAACCACATGTTTTCCATATTGCAATTCATTTTTTGTAGACCACTGCATCGTTTTCACACGCACATACAAATATCTTTGGTGCAAAGACCCTTTGGCACTTGGTATTAAATGTTAGTTCTCTCCTACAACTTTATTGGGTGCTGTGCGATTGGTTCAGCCAAAGTGGATGTGGCAATTAATTGTTGACTTGATAGGAATTAATAGATTTCATTAGCTCACCTTTAACTACATTTCTCCATCTTCATCCAACAGGGAGAAGTGCATGATGCTTATCAAAGAGGAGCCTGTGAGTCCAGGAGTGAGAGGAGCAGGAAAAGGAGGCAGTGTAGGCGCAGGAGAGGCCATAGCATTGAGCTCCTCCTGTGAAGTCTGCTCCTCTGAACCTCCTGTCCTCCCCGTCGCAATGGTCCAGTCTGTTCTGGAGGGGAGGGGCTCTGTGGCGTCCATGGTGGAGAGAAGGAGTAAGAGACCTGCAATGGACAGGTAGGCGTTCACACAGATCACAGGTGGGACACATGGAGAATGCAATGTACACAGAGATGTTTGTACAGGTGCAGAAGCGATACAAGTAGGGAAAAAGTGACCCTTTGAGCCTGTGTTTATATATTAAGTATTTAAGTGTACATGTGTGTGTGTTTGGTTTGCAGGGTGGAGGTTTCAGATGAGAATGTGGATATGAGCCTGGAGGAATTGCAACAGCTGCTGCTCAGGAGCCATCAGCAGAATGTTGTGGAAGCTGGGGCCAGCGCTGTTATGGATGTCAGTAGATCTGCACTATACACATGGAAACCCACTTACAACTTGTTTTACTCCACATAGATTCATATTTGTCTGATATTTGAAACTTCAAATTGGTATTGGTGCCGGACACTCCTTATACAGCACTCTAAATGAATAAAAGTTGTCTTACTAATGTGTCTCTCTCTTTCTCTTTTACTCTAGCCCTTCAGTTTAAGCCTGCCTCTGACCGAGTGGAACTTCACAGAGATGGAGTCCAACCTCAAATCAGTAAGTCATAGTGTGAGAGCTGTTTAACACGTGGACACAGTTTAGAAGAGGACATGTACTCTGGATGAACCACTCCGTTAAACATGCAATGACAAGCCCACCTCAATATAGCATGATGGTTGATTTGATTGTTGTTGTTCTGTTAAGGCCCAGATACACCGGCCCGAAATCGGCAGTAAATGGGAGTCAGGCCGAACATGAGCGTGGGCACGCCCTATTCGGAGTGGTGTGCGCCGCACAGTCGGGTCTTTTCTGCCGACCTGACGCCTTTTCTTGCCGAATCGGCGTCGAGAACACCACCGGAAGTCGGACAAAGGGATAACACTGATTGGCTGTTCAGCTAGCGAATCAGTGCATGAGAAGCGTTAACGGAAGTGAGGGAGGTAAACAAATGATTTAACACAAGCGTGAGTCCAAGAGCTGGAACACACACGGACGGCTATTTCACCTCATCGGTTTATAGAGCTCCTGTTCGTTCATGTTTTCAATGGAAGAGAGTGAAAATGGAAAGAAAAACGCTTTTTGTTGTTTGTTTATATCACGGAGTCTGTTCTTGTTCTCTGTCTTCCGGTTGTTCCGGTTGTTGCCTCTTTTGAATGATGAATACACACTACCGCCGCCTGCTGGTAAGGAGAGTTATTGCCACTCACGCATACGCAGTTCATACGTGCTCGGCTCGGATTTGCGGTGTGTTCCAGTGCGCGAAGTCGGAAAATACGCAGGAGAGTCCGGAGACGCAACAGTCGGTGTCGGCGTCGGCAACTTCTCAGGTGACTGGCCGGTGTATCTGGGCCTTAAGATCGAAAGGATGAAGATGGGTTCATGTGCACACAGCAGCACAGAGTCAAAGCTAAGAGGAATAAGATAGAGTCTAAATGTTGTTGAGACAAACACTCCTGCGTGCACAACCTTCAGCAAATATT